TTCTTCATAGGGAAAGTGTTCCAACCCTTTTATCATTCTATTTGCCCTTTTTGTACTTTTCCCATTGCTATAATATCCTTTCTGAGGTGTGGTGACCAGAATCGCGCACAGTATTCCAAATGAGGTCATACCATTGATTTGTACAGGGGCATTATGATACTGGCTGATTTGTTTTCAATTCCCTTCCTAATAATCCCCAGTGAAGCATAGGCCTTTTTTATTGCAGTCACACACTGTCTCGACATTTTCAGTGAGTTACCTACTATGACTCCCAAGATATCTCTCTTGGTCAGTCTCTGCCAGTTCAGACCCCATCAATGTGTATTTATAGTTAGGATTCTTGGTCTAACTATATCACTTTGTGCATCACTTTGCACTTGGCCACATTGAACCCCATTTGCCACGTTGATGCCCACTCGCCCATCCTTGACAGATCCCTTTGGAGTGCCTCACAACCCTCCCTGGTTTTCATCACCCTGAACAATTTAGTGTCATCCGCAAATTTAGCCACTTCACTGCTTACTCCCAACTCCAGATCATTAATGAACACGTTAAAAAGCATCGGACCCAGTACTGAGCCCTGCGGTACCCCACTGCTTACCACCCTCCACTGTGAAAATTGCATAAACAGCCTTCTGTATGCATCACTTATCTGCGGGCTCATGAGCCCTAAAGGACTGCTGCAATGCAAATGACAGTGCCCATGTAGGGCCACCTCTCACATGAGATCAGTTGTGCACAGCTACACTGGAGCAGGATTGTTTTTGACTAGTTATACTATGCATCCTCCTGCCAACCTAGCAGTTCGAAAGCAAGAAATTGCAAGTAGATAAATAGGTACCACTTCAGTGGGAATTAACAGCGTTCCATGCGCCTTGGTGTTTAGTCATGCCGGCCACATGACCACGGAAATGTCTTCGGACAGCGCTGGCTCTTCGGCTTGGAAACGGAGATGAGCACCGCAACCCTAGAGTCGGATTCGACTGGCTTTCGAGCAAGGGAACCTTTACTATGCATCCAGAAGACAAAAAACAATCTCAGTGTTGCTTAAGACACACGCACTTTACCATTTGCTAAGAAATAACTTGAATGCTTCATAGCTTTTCATATCAATTTCATTTTTTGCTATGGGATTAGTTATTGCAGGCCAGAGAGAAGGTTTCTAGTGGCAAATGATTTTACTTCAATAACAACCTTAGAGAAACAGCTGAAAAGTTTTATTCGCTCGTTCTGTTAAGCTTTGCAGAAATGTTTGCTTTCACATGAAAATTGTTTACACAAGTCTTTTCCAGAGCATCGGTAAACTGAAAAAATACTTCAAATTATCAACTGTATCTTTAGCACCAAAGTTGCTTTTCTTAGGCAACAAGAAAGGGCTAACAAAAGGTAAAACCTTCCCTTTCATCATGCCTGCCTGTGAGATTCTTTTGTCCGTGAGACGCCTCACTTGAACTGCATCACACGTGCCAGTATAATAATGGTGAAAGCACCCAAACCACACCCAGTCTCAGCTCTATAAATAAGGTAGGCACATGACAGCATCCATGTCACAAAGTCTTAAGAAGAACAATCCCTCAAGCCGCATAAGAGGTCTAGGAAGGACAAGGCAAGTCAATGGCTCCATTCCAGAGGAAGCTGGCTGTGTTCCAATGCCACTGACAGCTATAAGGCTGAAGTGTAATTAACTCTATACTGGGGCCAACATCTATGGCTGTATGATACATCAAAGTCTGTAACCAGAGCTGCTGTCAAAACAAAGTGTCGTTTAACTAAATAGTTTATGAAAGGCAGCAAAGTTAAGTCCTTGCCTAGACTAGCCAGCACATACCCGGGGGGGGGAGGAATATAGTTGTCTCTCCAGAACTGGGGGCCTTTCAGCCATTAGTGGATCAGATAAGTGCTAGAGATAAAGTGGAAAGGGCCAACATTAAGAGCTGTGTTACTCAGTTGTATTGAAATTACATCCAATCTGTAGCAAACACATGCTGGATCTACATCTTATGTCGAATGGGTACAACTAAAGGCTACAAGTGTGCTGTGTCACGTTTCGGAATGTTCCCACCCATAAAAGCTCAACACAATAAACAAGCGCTCCAGGGAAAGGACTGCATTAAACTTCCTTCTCCAGTGCGCTGCTTAGTACAACGGTGGCGGGGTTATCGATGGGGAAGCATCAGAAAAGCAACTTTCTCCCTTGTAGTTTGAAGTCGCAGCGACTCTGAATTCTACCCACCTGATTTATGTTTTCATTCTCTATAACGTTTAGATCCATCCCAAATTCTAAACAGTTTTGAGAAAGCCGGACTGTTTAAGGCTGTACTCCTAAACATGTCTACTAGGAAAACAGTCACATTTAAATCTATGGGACTTCAGTGAACACACACATGCGGCACTTGTGGCACATGGAGGGTTTTTGTTTCCCAAGCAGGCAGGCTGCTATTTTTAGATGACGAGCTCAGTAACAGGCCGCAAAGCTCACAATCTCCAGCTGAGCAGAACAGAAACATCTCTACCAGCAGGCAGCAGCAGCACAACCCAGAGAATCCCTTGTGTCACACAAAGGGCACGCATCGGACAGAGATGTTTTCAAGTCTCGCAGTGATACCACACAAGCAAGACTGGCCTGGGAGCTGCCTCTGAATTACCAAAGCAACCGGGAAGGGCTTCTCTTGGGAAGGGGAACCCTAAGCCAAAAATAAAATCAAGATCTCTGGATTGTGATGTCAGCTGTCTAGTCACTGATAAAAGGCAACCGATAGGCGAGTGTTTCAGTTTGGCGCAGCCCCTCCAGGCCAACCACTTGAAACAAAATGGAGCTTCTGATCTGTGCCGAGTATGAAGCTGCCCAGTGCTAGAAATGGTTGAGATGGGCATCTTTTGCCCAAAGTCAGGCCTGCGCACAATTTATACACTGCCAAACCCCAGCAGGCGCTTAGTAAGCTTTCCATTTCTGCTACTTGCCTGAGGCTGAAGAAACAACAGGGCTATCAAACATCTGGCAGGCCTCGATACAACCTTGTGGTAGGTGCATGGTGCTGGATCCTATCAGCTCAGACAGAACAAGTTCATTGGAGCCTCTTTGCCATTTACCCCTCACAATATCTGTGCTCCCCCCAAAAGCTGCCCCTGAATACTGGGAGACCCTTGAGGACACTATGGATGATCAAAGCAAGAAAGGGAAAAGAAACAGAATAAGCCAACCCTCTCCGCTTTTGGGTGGGGGGTGATTTCTACCAAGTCTCCCTTCAGCGACTTGAACTGTGTTCCATGTGACCCCGGGGCTCTCTCTCATTGCAGGAGTAACAAGGCCACAACAAGAAGGGGTACACTCTCTGCTCATAGGTGACTGGATCCAACACATGATGTAGCAGTTCACTCTACAGAAACCAGGTGGCACTACTGCTACCTAATGGGTGTTTCCCAAACTGTGCTTGAATGAGCAGTTTTCATTTCTATTAAGTGAGGTGCTCTGTAAATGCAACCATGCATACATTCTTTGCGGCACTCCAATCACTGAAAAGGACAGGGTAGCACCAATGCACTCACATGACAGCTCCTGGGTCATGACAATGTTCACAAAGGATATGCTAATTATTGGCCAAAAGCTTCCCATAGCTCTGCAATCACCTAGCTGGTGGGGCCTGTCAACCCAAAAAAATAACTGTAATATATTGCCCCCTCAAGCAAATGAAACAACTCCTCATTGCCCAACCCGATAGCTGCCTTCTAAACTTCCAGCATGTTTTTTGCAGGTTCTGCTGCCCATCCCGGGAAATAGATATGCTTTGACAACGAACAATAAAAACAGATTCACTAATAAGGATATTCACCAAGAAATCCTAATTTCTTCTCAACTGCAATGTACAGGATTCTGTAAAAAGACACATGCAGCCTGACCCCATTCAGGTTTACTTGGCACCAAGCCCAACTGAACGCAATGGGCCTTGCTCCCAAGTAAAGAGCACAGAAGCTTGCAGTGTTGGCCAGCACAATACAAGCGGACGGGGTCTTTTCTCCCCCACAAATAACTTGTGTCACAGAGACGTTGCTTGGTAACAGTGTCAGAGTTCCGCCTCTCACATTTAATATACTAGTCAATGTACGTGAGCCACTTGATCCACCAGCTTCCTCTGGCTAAGGAAGTTAAGAGTGGGACCATTCAACTTTTGCATGATCCAACACTGAAAAAAAAATCCATCTTAAACTCAGGATTACCAAGCTTTCACAAGGGAAATCCTAGGTTCTGAGAAAAGGGAAGATAGTAACAATTACACAGGGCAGCGACGGGCCCTTCTGTTCGTATGAATACTCTGCCAAAGCATACAGACAAGATTCAAGAAGCATCTCGGGATATCCAGCCGCTCTCTGTTAAGAAATTCAAAATCCTTTTCTTTAGTACCTTATCTAAGTAACTAGGAAGACGGCTTTTTGATGGAATGCCTTGTCTTTTTTGTAGATGATCTTTAATTATAATAGTTTTAACTGTCACATAACGTGCTGGACTCAGATTTATAGAGCTACAAAGTACTTTTTCTCGGTCTGAGAGAAGCTCAAAGCCAGGAAGATTTTCAATGGCAGCAAATTCTCCATCTTTACCATCTTCCTTTCCCCTCTTAGCAGTAGTAATATTTTTGTTCTCTTTCCTCTTCTCTCGTTTGTGTCTAGCAGCTTCATACTCTGCTGACTCTTCCATTTTTGTGATTCCATTCCGACGATATCGCTGTAGTTCCCTAATCTTGGTTCGCAGAACCTTCTCCTTGTGCAGGTTTTCAAAGAAGTCGTCAAACTCCTTACAAGACATAAATTGGTAGAGAGACCTCAGTTTTAACCTCAACTCTTTTTCCTCTTTTGTGATCTTGCGTTTGGAAGGTTTTTCTTTGTCTTTTCTTTCCTTCCCTAAAAAAGCGGGAACCAGGTTGTAGTCACGCGCAATGTTCTTTCGGCGCTGCCTCTCCTTTAGCTTTCTCACATACATGTCCACGTGAGCCCTCTTTAATTCTATTTCCACATCGTCGTCGTCGTAGTTCACCGACAGACCACTGATCAGAGTCTCGGCATCTTGGTCGTACTCGATTTCATAGTCATCTCGAAGTGGCATATAGCCCAGCTGCTGCTGCTCAGCCACCGATATGTCCAGAGGCGGCAGAGGCATGGTCAGGCTGGGGGAAAGGGGGCCGCCGCTTGGGCAGGTGTGGTCAGTCACTCTGTTTGGGATGGTGTCAGGGATGCAGGCTTTCCCAAGGTTGCCGTGGATGTACATGCTTACGTAGTGTTCCATCACTTCCTGAGGAGTCCGTGACGCTCCAACATGAGCAGCCATATCTTCCTGGAATGAAAAAAGAGGCCATCGTATTAAATAACATTTAAGCATGAAGAACCTCTAGGAAACAGCTTACAATCACACATACTCAACAGGATATTGACTAACAAGTGGACACCGAGATTCTTTGTAAGATTAAAAAGCAGTGGAGTGGATCCAACTGTCCTTCAACTAGCCTCCCTGCAAATCAACTGGATTTCCCTTCAGTGGAAGAGCCGTGTGAGTTGGAAGAAAATTCCAGTGCACAGAGGTTGTGTTAGTCGATTCGTAAGATGCTGTGTTGATGCTTTAAAATCTACCCTTTTATTCCCTCCTGTAACCTACTGAAATTTTATTCTTTGGCTTGTCGTTGTTCAGTCGCACAGTCGAGTCCGACTCTTCGCAACCCCATGGACCAGATCACGCCAGGCCTTCCTGTCTTCCGCCGTCCTCTGAAGTTTGCTCAATTTCATGGTCGTTGCATCTATGACACTATCTCCAGGTTCCTATGCAGTATTGTTCTTTGCAGCGTTGGACTTTCCTTTCACCATCAGACACATCCACAGCTGAGCGTCCTTTTGGCTTTGGCCCAGCCGCTTCACTCTTACTGGGGTTCCTTGTACTTGCCCTCTGCTCTTCCCCAGCAGCATATTGGACACCTTCCGACCTGAGGGGCTCATCTTCCGAAGTCATATCTTTTAGCCTTTTGATACTGTCCATCGGGTTTTCTTGGCAAAAATACTGGAGTGGGTTGCCATTTCCTTCTTTGGCTTATTTAAATACAGTAACATTTTATTTTTTAAAAAATGTGAGTTGGAAGAAGGCATCTTGGGTCAGAGCAGGGATCCCCAACCTCTTTGAGCCTGGGGGCACCTTTGGGATTCTGACACAGTGTGGTGGGCATGGCCACAATATGGCTGCTGCAAAATGGCTGCCACGGCTTACTTCCAGTCACACAGTGAAGATCCTTGTGCTGTGGTGGCAGCTACTGCCAAAGCAAATCAAGAAGAAGAGATTGGATTTATACTCCGCCCTTCACTTGGAGTCTCAGAGCGGCTTACAAACTCCTTTCCCTTCCCCTCCCCACAACAGACACCCTGTGAGGTAGGCAGGGCTGAGAGAACTCTGACACAAACTGTTCTTTTTCAAGGACAGCTGTGCCAGAGCTTGTGACTGACCCAAGGTCACATCAGCAGGTGCAAGTGGAGGAGTGGGGAATCAAACCCGGTTCTCCCAGATTAGAATCCGCGCACTTAACCACTACACCAAACTGGCTCCATCAAGTCTCCAGTGGCCTTGCAAGCTCTCCCTGCTTCCTGAAAACAAAGGGCAGGCACCAAGAAAACTGTCAGCAGGTAGCATGGCACCCGTGGGCTGGGGACCCCTGGATTTGAAGAAGGGTTCAGATTCAAGCCAAACAGGGAAGACAGCGTATAAATACTGTAAGAATTAAACTTTGCTCAGTGGAGTGGTAGGATCCACCCCAGTATATCAAATTATTCTTATTTCTAGATAAAGCTGATTCCCATCTAACTGTCATGACAGTTGTAGCCATTTCTTTCCCCCATAAACTTTGTCACATACATGTGAAATGAAACCTCTCCAGCAAAACAGAATAATTGTGGAGTTACTATAAAAGGTGGAATATTTTATTACTTACCTTTTACTCAGAGAAGACTGCCCATATCAGTTTGACCACACCAGTGTTCTCTTAGAATTTTGCTAATTTACCATCCCAGGAGAGAACCAATTAACCTTAGAAAGGGTTAAGATCTTATTTTGACTTTTTAAAAAATCTAGAGACTTTCAAAATAAAGACATAATATTTTCCATCTAAAAAATAGAAAATAAATTCCTCAAGTGTTAGTTACATATACAAATTCTGACAAACTGGTGCCACAGAAGTTAACTAGAGAACACTGTGAATATGATTTGCACACAATAACAAATCCAGTGCTCATCATTACAGAAATGTGTGGGGGGATCATAAAGCTCACACACTCACTCTCCCCTCACCAGTTCAGAAATTAATAGGTTCTGTAATAAGCCATAGTTTGTAATCATCTTTGAATTACAAACTTTGGTTTGCTGTCTTCCCTCCATACCAGGAAAGAACCAGGAAGGAAGGAAACGAGCCACAATTTGTGGTTCTGACAAACTATGATTTGTCACAAAATTAAAAGTGAATGATACAAGGAAGAGGAGGAGGGTGAACTATAAGACTGAGGATTCTGTAGATTTATTCCACTATTGACAAACTACTATTTGTTTACATGTGACTCACTTTAGTCTGTGGAAGTCCTGCTCATCAGCCCCCTCCCCCCAATTTGGCATGTGCACGAGATAGAAACATACTTTATTTCTTTAAGACTTTTTGACCTGGCCAGGATCACTCCCTAACCTCACCTCACTTGCTTTAATTTAGTTTCATTGTACCTGTCTAGCACAATTGTATCCCACTGTGCCTCTAAGGAAAGTGGTGTACCTAACCCTCCCTCGCCCAGTTTATATTCACAACGACCCTGTGAGGTACATTTGGCTAGGAGTGTGTTTTACTGGTTCCAGACCACCCATTGAGCTTCATGGACTTGAACCTGGGTTCACTTCAATGTCAAACAGAATCATTTTCATAATATAGGGTGCCTTCACACACACTAAATGTTGTTGTTCAGTCGCACAGTTGAGTCTGACTCTTCGCGACCCCATGGACCAGATCACGCCAGGCCCTCCTGTCTTCCGCCGTCCTCTGAAGTTTGCTCAACTTCATGTTCGTTGCATCTATGACACTGTCTAACCATCTCATCCTTTGCCGTCCCCGTTTTCTTTGACCTTCAATCTTTCCCAGCATCAGGGTCTTCTCCAGTGAGTGCTCCCTTCTCATTGGGTGGCCAAAGTATTTGAGCTTCAGTTTCATTATCTGGCCTTCCAGGGAACAGTCGGGGTTGATTTCTTTTAGGATTGACTGATTTGATCTTCTTGCAGTCCAAGGGACGCTCAAGAGTCTTCTCCAGCACCATAGTTCAAAAGAATCTATTCTTCGGCACTCGGCCTTCCTTATAGTCCAACTCTCGCAGCCCTACATGACTACTGGGAATACCATTGCTTTGACCATGCGGACTTTTGCTGGCAGGGTGATGTCTCTACTTTTTATCATGCTGTTTAGGTTCGCCATCGCTTTCCTCCCAAGGAGCAGGCGCCTTTTAAATTCATGGCTGCTGTCACAGTATATATACATATGTGTGTGTGTGTGTGTAAAGATGCCCCGGCGCGGCCCCCTCCCCCCGTCCCGTCCCTCCCCGCCTCTCCCCGTTCCTCACCCAGTTGCCGAAGCCGAACTGCTCGATGGCATCCAGCAAGAGCTGCTCCTCCCGGCTGCTCCAGCCGCCCTCGGCCTCGGCGCCCCACAGGGTGAAGCGCCCGCCGTCCACCAGCTGGTAGCCATGCCAGCGCCGGTGCGGGCCGATCTCGGCCCCGGCCGAGAAGCACTCCGGGCAGAGCTCGATGTCGGCGCACTCGGTGCAGCGGAAGCGGAGCGAGCTCACCTCGGCCAGGCAGTACACGCAGTACTTTTTCCCCAGCTCCGCCATCTTGCCTTCCCCGCCCCCCCCCCC